AATACGGGATTTCGTATTTCGTACTTCAGAAGTACGGAGAAGTACAAAAAAGTACGAAGAAGTACGAAGAAGTATCAAGAAGTACGGAGAAGTACCAGAAGTACAGAAGTATGCTTTTTCCCCCTTGAGAATGTGTCATAAAGTCTTTCGTTTGGATACCGACAGACTAGTTCATTTATTTCTAAAGTCAATTTTCCTTTCTCCTCCATAGGATTAGAAGTACATTAGTTCAAAAAATGATCTCACATCTTCTTCTACTTGTTCTCTGATCTGTACTTTTATTTGTTTAGAAAAAGTCTGTAATCAAGATTGTTCCCATCGTGATTATCCCGAATATCCCACATTACCCTGTCGAAGCTGCTCAAACCACATTGAAAAGACGAAAATATTGATTTCATCTGATTATGATACAAACAATAATATAATTAATGATATTTCATCGAAATCAACAACGAATATTTGTTTAGCTTTTAATAATCATAACGAAAAGGAAGTGATAGTAAACAATTGTCACAAAGAAAATGTTACGTCTGAACAAACAACTATGATGAATGCCGAATGTACTGGTATTGAAACTCGTAATGTGACGGCAAGAGAAAAAAAATTACGTGAACGTTGGACGAAACATGAATATGATTCATCTCAACAACAAAATGAAAGTATTAATCGACCACAAATATTATTAGGTTTAGATTTTCCACCTGTAGCTGTTTTAAGACGAAAGTTTAACAACAAAAACAATTCGACAATTACTGACAATAGTACACCCATCAACAAAAAGCCTTCTCATATAGTCAAGAAAATAACCGAAACAACACCATTAATCCAGATAAATACGAATATAAACAGCAGCAATAATAATCACTGTCAACAAGTGAATGATGATTCAAGTGAAGCAAGTAGTTGTACAGTGACAACATCAAACGATCAAAATTCAAATAAGGAACAACCGCAGGTATGTTTACTAAATCCTTTTCTCTCTAACCGAATGTCGTTGGATCTTCCTATATCGTTGATTTCTGTTGCCGATAATGTTTCATTTGTCAAGCAAACCTTACAAGATATATGTCATATGCAGTATAAATAACTGACAACACAGCTTTGGCTATTATACATCTGTAACCATATAGAAATGTTTTTTTATACTAGAGAGCCAGAGGGCTCATAATTCTGAAATATAACGTTTGTTCAGAATTGACAAACATTCAAGTTTAATTGAAAATTTATTATAATGATCAAATAAATGTTAGAGATATTCAAGTTTTTATTCGAAAATTACTTTTAAAACACTTTGTAAGGATATAATGAAAAAACTTTTGACAGTTTTTAGACAAAGAAAATCGACCAAAATCGATATCGTGAGAGAGTATCATCGTTCATAAGACGAGTGCTTAAATAGTTATATACAGTTAAATAACAGATGACAAATCTTAAGGGAGCGGCGGATTCCCTTGGTTTTTTACATCATTTTGTAGCCTATGTCAACTTACATATTTGGTGAGGCGTTTGAACCTCCCGGACACGTTCTTCCCATTTTCTTATAACGTTTAAAAGTTTACAGAAATTTTAGAGCTTTTTATAAAAAGTTCAATGTTCATTAAAGAAGCGTGTTCTAATGATAAGACGGGCTCCGATCGATCAAGGAGATCGAACTGCCTATATGCTGAACTTACTGCGAACTTTGAATGAAGTTCGGTTAACAAAAATTTTCTTTTTTCTTGAAATGTCGATTTTCCCGAAAACTAGTATTTTTTAAGAGTCTTGCCACTGATTGTGGCTCAACGAAGCATGATGGAGAAAAATGACAAAACTCTTTCTTAGGTGCCAAATGGGGTAACTGAGTGTAATACTTTTTTCGGTGTAATAGAAAAATTTTGAGAAAAATCAAATTTAAGAATTTAAAATTATTAGAAAACTTAAAATTCAGTTTTTCTCAAAATTTTTCCGTTAGACTGAAAAAAGTATTACACTCAGTTACCCCATTTGGCTACTAAGAAAGAGTTTTGTCAGCAAAAACTTTTCTTCATCGTGGTTCGTTGAGCTGCAATCTGTGGCAAAGTTCTTAAAAAATATTAATGTCCGCCCCAAGATATAAGATCGGTAGTTTTGTAAATAACTCAAAGACGATAAAAGGTAGAGACTTGCGGTTTTCTGCAACCGAAAGAAAGCAGTTTAACCTATATTTTCATAAGCAAAAACGTTTTTTGAACAAATTTCTGAAATCGGTCTTTCAGAGGGTCTACGGAAAACTAGTTTCTAGGTTAAACATTTTACATAGCAAGCAATCGATTTTTTTTTCATTGATAGATAATTCAAAGTGTCTTCTACAAAATAAGATCTAAACAAAGGTTTCACTTTGCTTTGTTCAGGAACTCTGGACGTTTTTTCCGGAGCCAAGAGGCTGCTCTATGGTTCGTTCTGAGACCTTCTGAAATCATGAAATCATAGATTATCGAACACATTCGTATAATTAATTTTGATTAAACAGTTAAGTTTTTAAAGAAAGGCCCAGCCATTAAATTTTTTGTTCAAATTTTATCTTGATTAATTTACAACTTTTGTGAATACTTATCAGTTCTCCGAAAACAATGCAGTCAAGTATTCTCTACAATCTGAGAATGTTTAATAGTTCTTTTTGTGGGGTCCACCCCTACCCCCCCCCCTTAATATGCATTCTAAAAGAAATACGTCTTAAAAGAAGATGGTGTAAATTCGTTCCCAATTATACGGATACATTCGTCGTATTTTAAGACGAAATAAAATAAGACATTTCGAAACCTCTCATTTTAAATGAATGTATCAGTCTAATCAAGAACGGACTTATACTGTCTTATTTTCTTAATCGGATCAAATTATTCGTCTTAGATCATAACCAAGGATTTTAGTAAGAAATCAAAATACATTGACAAGTTTTTTCGAAGCAATCATTGTTCTTTATATACGAGTGACGAACGAAAAAAAAGAGATAAATGACTTTTTAATCCATCATAGAGGTAAGACGGAAGAGATGACTTGCACGAACAAGCGTCTTCAAATAAGACAGATGCAACAGAACGATGAATAGTATAAGCGGGATTTTTTTTATAATGTCGTATGTATTATGTGTGAAGATAAAGGACATTTTTCGCTCTTAACCTCTTTGTTTATTATAATTCTCTTGATTTAATCATAAACCATCATATACTTCTGAATCTAACTACAAAATAATATTTATTGAAATAAAATAAATTTACAAAACACATTTGAAGTGTACGTCTTTTTTCCCTTTTATTATTATTGTCAAAGTAAAAATAAACAATTTTAAAAAAAAATTTCTCCTATATATCTAATAAATTGAAGTCCTTATTGATATGTGTGAGTATACAATATATCTGAATACAATCATAATAGACTATACACGTAACACTGAGCACTTATAGCCTCCATGTATGTACGTAGTACACAGACAAGATGTAAGGGTATGGAGCAAATAACTAAAATGAAAAAAAAAATCACTTTTGATCAGTTATAGTTAAGTTTTTTTTATTGTTACTAGCAGCCAAAAAGTATAATTTGTGCAAAGAGTATACACTCCGTATATAGACATGAAAAGATTGAAACAATTGAACAAACTAAGAAATCAAAAAAAATTGTTCTTGTAATGTTTGATATTTGTTTGCATTGAACAAAAAAGACAGAGAGAGACAGAGAGAGAAAGAGAGAGAGAGAGAGAGAGCGAAATGAACCATTTTTAACGATGACTATTATTTAGACATTTTTTTTTGCCTCCTAGATGTTAGCATTTTGACACGATAGAAATATTTAAGTTTAGTGATGAGAATAAACACTAATTCCCAAAAAAATTCTAGGTTGTCTGTATCAATAGAGTATTATCACTCGTATATATTTGTATACACAGGTGTACGTTTTAAACCTTGTACAATTAGTTTCAATAAATACTTCATGGGCGAATATATGATTCGATGCTATAACAAATTGATTGAATGTTGTGTCAAAAATTTATATTAGTGATTGCTATTTTATTTTATTTTTTTTTTAGAGTTTTGTCACAAATAATATCGACCACGTGCAACACAATGATAATCAAGTGACTAATCAAGGTAAATACATTAGTTCGTTCCAATGTTTTCCTATTACCAAAATTATTACTAAAATATACACAAAAACTTTTTGATTAGATTTGTAATCGAGAAGACTTAACTAACGTTTATAGATACTCTAATTTGAATTGCACATGTGCTATGTATTGTTTTTTTCTTTTTGGTTTCTAGCATTAGATGCTATAATTAGAGCATATGTAAATGAACCATTTATATCAGGCAGCTGCTGTCTGTATAAAAGACAACTACGTATAATAAAAAGGCACGTAATTCAAAATTTATAGAATAAACGAAAAAGAAATACAGTTATTCCAAAAATGACGTGAAAAACAGAACATGTATGTGTACAGGCGAATTGTTAACACAAACTGTAAAATAATGATAGAAATATAAACGGAAAGAAAAAAATGAAAATCAGACGTTAAACGAAAAAACAAACTAATAGTCTAAATAATATTTCATGACATAGTATATCTAGAACTGTATTTAAAAAGAGAAAATGTGTTTTTTTTTCTCTCTCGTCTTTTTTTCTGTTGATAATCTCCTGATAAAGAAAAAGAAATAACTACTGCAGGACAATATTGTGTTGTGTGTTTTTTTGATTATTAATAATCGTTGTTATGTTGTATAAGGAGGATATATGTCGTACACAAACGATAGGAAAGTATACTTTGTCTAAAAAAAAGCATCTGTATATAATCTCGAATTTCTTGCCAGTATTTGTGTATTTAAGAAAGAAAGGCATGACGGTTAATTAATTATTATTTATTTCAAGTAAATACTAATGTTATTATCAGCTGAGAAATATTAATAAAATAACATTTTCTCATAGAAAGTCAGTTTATAGCAAATAGATAGTGAACACCGTGGTATTGCAGTTTATTGTTCTCTAAGTTCAACTTGCCCTAGGCATATAAAAAAAACGTCGTGTATCAGAGTAGTCGATATGACATGTTCTAAATAGTTAAAATTCACTGTTGAGTCGTTCTTATGGTCAGATATATGTTGTTTAATTATAACAGATAAGAATTCTTTATTGATGTATGAAGAAATACAAAAGTTCGATTTCTGAACTTTTTTTTAAAAGCATTTTCTTTTTTTTTAATTATGAATTACTAATAGTTTTTCTTCACATATGATGATAACATATAATCCACTATAGTAACATGAAACATTTTGATCTCTATACGGTCAGTTATTCTCTCTTTTTCTCTCTTGTTCACGCATCATTTGTTAATTTAGATATACAATTGATAAATATTATTGAAACAAATATAACAAAAGACTATTATCAACCATTATCATTTGACCAAAAGCAACAAGAGCAAAACGAACAATCTATAGTTATTGAACAAATTAATAATATTCAAAATTATCAAGATGTCATTGAAGATCTTATACATTTAGTAGAAAAAGAACAAGAACAATTAAATAATGAAACAGTGATGGATGTTCTAGCTAAGTCTAGTACAACTTCAGTTGAAATAAATAATAACAACAATGATGATGAGAAGAAGAAAGTATTAGAAGAAGAACAAAATGACGATAAAAATACAATAAATCCTTTTTCGTTCTTTTTCTCTTCTAATATACCAAATACAATAGTCATAGACGATTGTACCGGCAACATCATTACACCGATCGTCAATAATAATAATAACGAAAAAGAAACAGAGAATGAGAAGAACAGAAGCAAAAAAGAAGAACAATCATCACCAAACGAACCTAAAGTATTGTTTGTGGTGAACAACGGTAACATGTCTGATGATTTAAAATATTCAGGTGTTATTATCGAAGATCTTCATGAAGATGAAGATGAAACAATAGCGGCGAAAAAAACAACTCCAACTGATTATATTTTATGTGATGATGATGATAAAATTTCTTTGTCAACAACGAAAAAACAGAGACCGCTACCGTTTAATACTGTCTTATCATGTTATGAAAAGGCATTATCGAATGTGACGTTTGATGAATTGTCAACATCTTCCGCCACAGCATCACCGTTATTAATGAAATCAAGTTCACTAGGTGATTGCATTAAACCATTAACAATATCTGCTCGTCCAGAAGATGATCCCATTGCACAACGAGCTCTTCGACGTTTTGAAGAACGTATGAAGGCTGCTGTGGCCGCTAAAGGTTCATTAAATCAAAGTGATCTGCTAGCTAAAGGTAAATCATCGTGGTCTGGTACACTAACAACACCGCGTAAATCATTAGATAATTTATTTAAAAACGAACAATTATCTGTTTGTCCAACATCTTCTATGGTCCGATCAGATGAACCAATTGTTGTTGACAGTTATATTAGACCAAGACGAAATTTATTCGATAATTCAGATAAAGTAGGTTTAGATTATCCCAAACCATTAAATTTAATAAGTTCATCATCATTCAATCAACGATTATCATTGAATGATGGTCAAACATTAGATAACACAAGCAAAAAAGAAGATGATAATGCAGAACAACAAGCAACTGTCAATATCAATAATGAAGATGATAAACAAGGTATGACTAACATCTTTGAGTGTGTTGTCAAAACTGCCTTTCAAGAGAGCAAATTGAGGTCATAAATAAGTGGTTAACATCAGCTGTCATAATTGATATAGAATAGAACACATCAGCTGTAGAAGGAAACATATTTTCATAGAGTTGCTTGTCGTTTCAGACTAAATACCGTCAAATCGTTAGCAGAGGATAATATTTAACATCAAGGATAACGCGGCACGGTTTCTCATCGCCATAAGATATACAGTGTCATTCGCGTACCGATCGTTCTTTTGTCTAGAAGTGCCTTAACAGATTAGTTTGTGTGTATGTATGTATGTATACGGTGAGATATTCCCTAATCAAGAGAAGAAAATGTGTAAATTGTATTTGTGTTTACATATCCTTCTTCTTTTATTTTAAGTAGATAGTATAACAATAGAGAAAAGACGAAGAAAGAGAGATGCACTAAGCAAAACAATGGTTCACATAAATAGTATGTATTATTGCAAGGTTTATCACTCGGAAATTAGACTATATTTCTCTCCAGGGAATAATAATTTATATTAAAAGTAAACACAGGCTTTGTTATACTCTCTAGTATAATCTTAAATGATGTGTATATGAATATTTTCTAATAACGAAACATTTTGCATGAATTTCATTCAACAACTTTGTGATCGTATACGCGTGACTATGTAAATAAAAGTAGATAAACACTCATGTTGAAATTTCTATTATGTTTATTATTTTTTGTCAACTACTACATGCATTTAGTCTTTTTCTATAAACAACATTTGTGCTACAAAACGAAGTGATAGTTAAGAATAAGTTTATTGATTAGAAGCAAAACAGATAGTATGAATTTAGTCTCATTTAATATTTTACTGGTTTATTACATAATATACATCCACAAATCATATGTCGTGCTCTGAATAAATAAATTAATTTATCACTGCTTGAAAACTCAAAACTTTCTAATCTCATTTGTTATTCAAAAATTCTTTTTTATAATTTTCCACCACCAACTGAGAGATCGTCACAGACGTGTCATTAGCGTATTCTGTCTATACACTAATATATGAAATTAAAGTTCATATTTACTTTATGACAACGAAAGGATTTTCGAACCATCTATTCAATTGTCTTTTCTCGTTTTTTTATTCTTTTAATCTTCATTCAAAAAAAAAAGTTTCAATCATCTTTATTTTTTGTTAGTTCTATGTAATATGAAACTCTCTCTCCCTTTCTCATTCTATCTTTAAATAAATATAATTCAAACTATTATATGGTACCCAAGTACTTGCATATTCACACACACATATAAAGTAAAATAATAAAAGAATTTTTTTTGTGTGTGTAGTAAAGGAGCGTAATACATAGCCATCACCATTACTGATCAAGGTTGTTTTTTTGTAAGTATATCTCTATACTGTACCATAAAAATATGTGGCCAACAAGAAAATATGTGGATGGAAAAAAGAAAAAGGTCGTCTGTATACAAAGATTTCGGTGGTCGATGTAGTATTTTTTTTTAATATGCTTTATTACACAATATATCTAAAAAGAATTTATTACACAACTAGATCAATGTTGATCAGATCGAGTTAAATATGTAAATATTGCACATAATAAAAAAATATATTCGATCATGTTTAGAGTAAGTATCTTAATTATTGAAGTTGTTTATACTTAAGTTCAACAGCAACAACAACACTCGAAAACAGTTGGAGATAATTAATTTGATTTTCTTTTTTCTTATAGAGCTGGATTCTATCCGTCAACGTAAATCAAGTTTGTCACTGTTGGATACAATGTCAGTTGAAAGTGGTCTGGGCATCAGTAATGATATAAGTACATTGACTGACAGTGAAAGATCGTTAGAAAATTCAATAACTGAGAATAGTGTGTCTACAAACAGTTCATTGAATACGATCATGAGTAATAGTAATAATACTGATACAATGATAACGAGTACAGCATCATTGATTTTAAATGAATCACCACCACCACAACCATCTTCGTCATTAATTCAACCATTGGCACCCTATCGTTTACAATTAGAAGGACGACGACGACTAAATACACTTGATCGTATTAAAGAAAGGCGACAAAGTAAAGAGAATAATATTGATGATACACATTCATCTATAGAATCATCTGTGTCACAATTACAAAGTGAATATACAATTAAACCTGAAGAATTGCAAGATCCAATTATTCGACGAGCTTTAGAACGTTTTGATGAAAAGAGTCGAACATTAGCACAATCAAAATCTATGAATTACGATGATATACAAGGTAAATCTTCAAAATTAATAGCTGGAATAAATATTTAGAGTCTTTTCACTCTGTTAGCAATACCTATTTACATTTTTGTATATAGATCCAATAACGCGGCGAGCACTGACGCGTCTGGAATCGAATTTTAAACGAACAAACATCTTTCCTCCATCATTACCCCCTACAAATCCATCTTCGTTTGTACAAATGGATCATACTCAAGATAGAATACCAGTTGACACAGGTTGGTATACTAACAGTTACACGATGGGCACTCTTCAACCACAATCAACAATAGCTGATGACTCTTTATCCTATAATAACCATAATCGTACATCACGCTGTCCAACTGATAATGGAAATAATAAAACCACCTATGTATCTGTTCATCAACGTTTTTGTGCATCATCTGATAATGATCAACAACAATCATTAGCTGAACGTGATATACCCGTTCTGCGTGTTCCTACGCATCCCGTTTATGTTTCATCATCACAACAACAGCAACAACAACAACCTACTAGTCAAGAAGAACGATCACAACCAATTATCCAAAATTCTTCTTTGCGTCAACGCTCAAGATCTGAAGATATGCTGTCAACAAAACAACTTGAATTAACCATAGGACAAACATCAAATATTGACTTAGACAATGAAAATGATTCTTCTCATGAAATACAAAAAACAACATCATCATCGGTAAATAACGATGAACGTCAGTTAATTCGTAATCGTTCATCAGACAATTTACAATCCAGTTCTGAGTTAGTTACTAATCCAAATGATAAATTTTTATTACCACGTTCAATGATCACATCACTGGAATCAAATTTTGTTCGAACAACTGAATCCTCGTTACATTATGCTACACCAACAAAAAGTTATTCAGCTTACAGTTGTGAATATACAAGGCCTCATCGAAATTTATTAACAACCGATTCAACAACAACACAACCAACAGCAGCAATCGCAAGTGAAAAAGTTTCACCGAGAAATACCACCGATTATCTCGAACGTAGTTCATCCGCATCGTCACAACGTAGTCAACCATCTATACCACAAAACTATCAGACTGCAAATGCCAATAATCAACAATCACACCCACCCTCGCAATATAATAATACGTATAATAATAATAATCATTCATCCAATTTCCAGCAACAACCACAGCAATATTATCCAACGTCTCAATCATCATCGGCTTTTGCTCCCATTCGTCAAACACAATCAAATGATTATTATTCAAGAGAACCATCCTACGGTAATGTAGGTAGTATGTACAACACAAGTTCATCAACATATTCAGATGATCCAATGTAAGTTGATTGTGTTTCTTCTTCAGACTTTGTTTTAGCTTTTCCGTTTACTCTATCATTTAGTGTTCGTCGGGCATTAGAACGATTCAATTCTCAAATGCAAAATAGTATGATATCTTCTACAAATCACAACACTTATCCCTATCGAGAACCATATTCGTCGCGAAATTACGATACAAATTCTCAGATGACTCGTGATTATTATGGTGGTACAAATAATTTTCCGTATGATCATAATAGTTATAATCGTTCAGGTTATGATACATGGTCAGGTGGAAGATCGGTCGCTCCTCCTCTACCACAATCAACATCAAACTATCAATCAATCATCGCCCGCCGGCGTCAATTAAGAAATGATGATACCTCTATAACTGACTCATCTGGAAGCGAAGTTGGTGGCGGTTACAATTCATCGGTATTTGCTGAAGGAGATCAACGTTATCATTATGGAAATACTACATCAGCTGACATTCAACCCCCAATTCCACCTCGATTTATTCGTCGTGATTTCCGCAGTGAAGAACAATTGTTAGAACCACAATTTCATCGTTATCTATCGGAAGATTTTTTAGATCAAAATGAAAATGTAAATAATAACAACAACAATTCAGCTTACATTCATCATGCCTATCCTGCAACAATAACAAACACCAATACGGGTTTTAGACCAATTGATGTGAATGACTATCAACATCAACAATACCATCATAATCAAGTACAAGATTATAATGATCAACAACCAAATGATATTACCACCTATATCAATAGTGGAATGTCATCGAATATCAATACGAATAACAACAACAATTCCGATTTACTGAGAGATCGAGCTCAATCAACATCGAGTACAACATCATCTGACAGTTTAAATACACGACGAATGATAAGACCAAATAATATAAGAACAATACCGACGACACAAGCCTCAAATAGACAATCGACAAATTTACCGATTAAATTAACAAACGGGAGAAAACAATTTAACGGAAATGAACAACAGCAACAGACGATAAATAAATCTTTACCAACAGTCGAGCAAAACTTTACAAACAGGCAATCGGGTAAATATAAATAAAGTTAAGTTCATTGTTTCTCTTAATTCTTTATCAATCTTTTAGGTCGTATAACGCCAAATTATAATGGTAGCAGTGTTGTTGGTGACAGCGTATTCCATCGACTGGCTTATACTGGTACGAAAGCGTCGTTATCAAAATCAAATTCCACATCCTGTTCAAATTTATTATCTAAAGGTGGTGCTCAACAGTCGATATTAAAAGCTCGTGAAATTGATTTTGATGATACGTGTAGTACAATAACCGTAAATGATAATGAAACAACCCTTTCATCGATAAATTCAAATGAATCAAACTCAAAACAACAATCACAACAATCATCTCAATCACAATCACAACAACAGCAACAACAAAGTAAATGTCAACGATCTCGATCGGTTGATGGGCGTGCACGTGGTCGAACAGCACAAGCACGAATAAATCGAGCTGATAATGATGAGAACAGTAGTTCAACAACAGATGATAATAATACGAATTCGAAAATACGTGTGGAATCTAAATTTACAAACAATTCAAATATGAACGGTAATGGACGATTCGGAAATGGCTATGTTCATATTAATAATATTAATAACGGTGTTGGTCGAACGACGCTCATGAATCGTGCAGCACCAGAACGCTCAGCCGTGCTTACTAAACGAACACAAAGCGGTCTGAATTTAAATTCACGAAATAATAACACAACGATAAATAATCGTATGCGTAGTTCAAATAGTAATTTATTAGATGATAGTACTAATGATACAATTGATGTAGAACTACAATCTGAATGTAACGAAAGAGGAGAAAATGATGAAAATCAAATAGATAATAATCTGTTTGAAACATCACAAAATGCTGGTGAATTATATCAACCAAAAATATTGAGTGCAAGAAATATACCAATTCGAAATAATATTCAACAATCATTATCATCTTCATCCATCACTACTGGATATAACAATCGAAATCGATCTAGTTTAGAACGACGTGATTCGAATATATCAATTTCAGATACAAACAAGTAAGTTTATCACTAAAATTTGTACAAAACAACCAAATATCTCTTCATCTTGTATAGGTTACAAAAACGAGTTGAGATTGATCGAATTCTCTCACCAAATTCTCATCGTCGTAATATTCCTGTATCTGTATTTGTACCAGCTAAAACAGAAAAGCGTCCTGCACCCGCACCACCTCAACAACAACAACAATCAACACAAATTTCATCGAGTCAATCAACAGATAATTCGATTAATTTTAATCAACAATATTCACCAGCTATGTTGACAAATGGAAATAATAGTTATTATTCAGATGATCGTCTAATAACATCTAAACCACCTCCAACTCCCGGTGTTAAATCGTCTATTATACCAAATTCATCATCATTATCCAATTTTAATAATGGTGGTCTAGATTCAACGAAACAACAACAACATGATAGTAAAAAGATGAATGTTTTTGAACGTTTATTTCGAGGAAATAAAAAAAAACTTGAGTAAATAGCTAATTATCGTAGTTTTACTTATATTATTTGCTTGTTTTGTTTTTCACAAATTATAAAGCTTATTATATTTTGTGCTTTTACTATTGAATACTTGCTATGTTACTGTGTACGTGTGCGTTTACCTACGTGTGACATCTATATTTCCGTCCGACATATTGACTAATAATTTGTATATGAACAATGCGTGCTGCCAGTACACACTATAATGATTTACCGTTAGATCGAAATTAATTTCTCCTTCTCCGTTTTTATAATGCAAACATATTTCGGTCTAATTTAGACCAGAATGAATCTTTTAATTTAATATTGTTAATAGATATGCTTTAACAATGACTAACGAAGGATAAATGGGAGTTATCTTTTATTAAAATCTACTTACTACTCTTTCTAATCGACTAGCCCAAAACTCTTCGTTGCGGATATTTTTTTAATGTTGTATACGCCTTCCACAATATTTTACTATTGTGGATCGTCTAACATTTTTTTACCAAAAGGAGAACTTTCTAACATTGTTGTTTCGGTTGGTTTTTTTAACGAGATAACATGCAACTTATCTGGTTCTTTTATCGAAATGTGCATCGCAATTGTATTTTGTTCTTGTTGAACACGGTTAGTTTTACTTTTACCCTATTTTGTTTCTGCAAAAAATCATACCCTTTCATTCTTTTTTGTGAACGTGCTACCATTATTATTATTACTATTACTAGTTTATCACAGTGATATACAAAAATATGTGTTGTTGTTTCTTTTCTTCGCTTTTGTTTTCATCTATTTTTTACTTTGTTTTATCATTTTTAATGCTT